TTCGCTTTCACAACGAAACACAGCGTCACACACGGTGGCCTTGAGTGAGCGGCGGCGGCCTAGAGTGAGCAGAGGTCAGGGGCTAGAGTGAGCAGAGGCGACGGTCTTGAGAACGGCGCGGCCGGCAGATTCGATGAAGGAGCGTCCGGAGGGCTTGCGGCAACCACATGTGACGACCCCGGGCTGGACTCCGCTTCGTCCACGGTGAAAGCCGATCCGGTGATCCACAGCGCAAAGTTGTTGTATTTCTTCAGCGACCAGCACGGATCAGCTCCAGGCATGACGAAGCAGATATCATCCTCTTTTGGAAGGCCAAACAAAGTAGTTTCGCTTTCACAATGAAACACACAGCGCCTTCACGACATGGCGGCGGGAACAACAATACTACAGCAAGAATAAAAGTTAAGCCTTCTTTGCGTGAACATTTGGGCGGCGTTATGCAAATCTTCCCACATCGTGACGTAGACATGTGGGGGCGTGTTAGAACGAGCCGTTTTAGGTAGGTGTGGCTGACTCTGAACTTTTATAAAGAATATCTCTTTGGATTTGAGACTTTAGTCTTTGCAACTTTACAGATCTTCTTTATGCACCAAGAGCTAGTAACACTCCAAAGAGAAAGGATTGAAATTGAAATCGCATCATATGACCCCTTTAACTAATATGTGGCCCTGGACCACAAAACCAGTCATAAGGGTCACTTCTTTTAAAAGCTGAATAAATAAGCTTTCCATTTATGTATGGTTTGTTAAGATTGGTCAATATTTGGCCTAGACACAACTATTTGAACATCTGGAATCTGAGGGTGCAAAAAAATTTAAATACTGAGAAAATCGCCTTTAATAGTTGTTCAAATGAAGTTCTTAGCAATGCATATTACTAATCACAAATTAAGTTTTGATATATTTACGGTAGGAAATTGACAAAATATCTTCATGGAACATGATCTTTACTTAATATCCTAATGATTTTTGGTATAAAAGAAAAATCGATAATTTTTTTGGCTATTGCTAAAAATATACCCAAGCGACTTAAGACTGGGTTTGTGGTCCAGGGTCACATATATCAACTATGTAAATGAAGAAACAAAATTTACAATCTGACCAATCAGAATCAAGTAGAGTTGTGAGTCATTCACCTTGCTTATTCCCTTCCTCTGCCTGTCAGGAGTGTGTGAGGAGGTATGTGCAGGATGCTGAGAGAAGTATTCGTGAGGAGTGTGACATTAAGGCAGAAAGAGAGAAACAGGCCCTACAGGACAGACATGAAGAGAAGATATCTGAGCTACAAAACAGGTAAAAATACACATGATGAAACTCTCCTGCGCACCCCAGCTTCATGTTGTGATGCATCTCAGCTATTCTCTTTCTCCTTCCTTCCTACCTTTTGTAAATTTCATCAAGTTCTCTCTTTGTATCTCTCTACCTTCTCCCTTTTCTACTAGAATCCTAGATTTTAAAGATTTTGTTGTCGTCATCAACACTGCTTCTCCACCAATTTTCTTTTTTGTTTGTTTTTTGTCAATAATGTTTTGAAGTCGTGCATGACGGTGCATGTGTGTTCCAGTATACAGCAGCTGCGGGACAGTCTGGAGCAGGCCTGCAGGGAGCGCATTCAGTATGAAGCAGAGTTTAAGGTCAGCCCTTGTAATGAGGTCATCATGAATAAATGAACAGCTTTAAAAAATGACCCGCTCAAATCCAGCATCTGCAACACCCTGCAACAAAATGACGGAATAACAGAACTCTCTCTCTCTTTCCATGCCAGCACACCCTCTGACGTTTGGTTCTTATTAAGCTTAGTTTGTTTCTCCCCATGAGTCTGTGTTCCTCCTTGTCTTAATAGATAACAGTATTGACATTTGACCTTTTGCTTGAGGACGTTTCCATCTTTGGTCATTATGATGATCCACCTGTCTAACTAACTGCACCTGTCTAACTAAAATGTAATCAGCATGTTTGTGTTCTTCCATCTCTCTCTCTGTCTTTCAGAAGGTGCAGGCCAGCTACAGGCGGTTTGTGGACCTGACTGATTCCTCCCTCCACTCTGATTACCTCTTAAAACTGCGCAGACTGGGGAGAGAGCCAGGTCTCATGGACACTGCGACACAGACTGATGAGATCACCTCCTAACTTGTGATGGCAGTGTTCTCACATCACACTGTCTGGGTATTTGACATGACATGTGTCATAGCAGTCACAGCAGTGTCCTGCACTACACGCTGTACTTTGTCTAAAGCCATTTGAAACATTTGTATAAATGTTAAAAGATGACAAGTTGTGGCATCTAAAATATACTTTCATTAATACATTTATCTTTACAAAGCATTTTTTGTAATGAAACGTGTCATCGGTTTCATAATAAATAGAATATGTACAGTATATACATTTTTGCAGTATTGCAAGATAAAAGTGAGTACTGCACATTTTGCTGTCTGCATGTAAAACTACATTGAACTAATTGGTTTATCAGATCAAATTTTAATAAACAATTCTGCGTATTTAATACCCTATTAGTCTTATTTTACATTATAGTGTAGTGATTGACACTACTGATGAACAACATATTAAATATGTAATAATGTCCTGGAGCAGCTTACACATTGTTATTGTTAGTCCTATTTTAATTACAATAACATGCATTGTGTGATCCAAATGAACAGTATACTAGACATTTTCACTAGAAAATTGTTGCATGAAAAAAATATATTTGCCCTTTCACAGCAAGATTCCATAATGACAAATAGGCAGATATTACAGGTAAAAAAATACCTGTAAAAAATGATTAGTGCTGTTGCTAACTGTTGCTACAAGGCCCAATACAATTTTAAACAAAATAACCCAGTTTATTAAAAATTTGCTAGTCGTTAAAAAGCCTATTTATCAACTACTCTGCTTTAAATACAATGCCATTTGAAGTCTTTTGATGAATTGGGACAGCAGTAAAATATAAAATAAATGGGACATGAATGGATGGATGAATGAAATCGATGGATTAATCGTTTCTAACTGTTATATTAATATTGCATAAAATTATATTAATATTATATCAAATGGATATGGCTGTCCAAAAGAGCATCAAGATTTGCAGCGTGCTATCTGTAAAGCGTTATTGGACTGTAGTATCAGTACTTCACCGCTGGGTGTCAGTGTAGGCAAGGTTTTACTCTTTCGCCTTGGCTCCCATCAGCAGCACTTAAGTCCATTATACACTTCTTAATTGTAGTTTTCAGATGACAAGCATACAAACACAATTAATTACCGATTTCTCACATACGCAGAACGCTGAAAATCATTGCCGTTTCAATTGGACGGTAGAGATATTTATTAAACAAGCTCTTTATCTGCTGCATATCTTACTAAGCTTGTCATTAGTGTCGTTACCACCAGCATGAAATGTTATTACATGCACCGTTACCAGCGAATGCACTGGGGGCGCTGTAGCGCCGTAAGCCGTCGCTTCTGAATGCACAGCGCTGATCGGTGTGATCGGGTGCCGGGGATCACGATCATCATATCAAACGGAAAAAGAAGCAGTGACAAAAATGTACGTGCTCTGAGACTGGTATCATTTATTTATGGAGAGAATCCTTTACATGAGCGTTGGGAAATAGGTTTGCATGGTATATGGATGTGTTCGTGACTGACGTGATTTAATAGCACCTCTACATGCGGAAAAAACAAATCCCCCAAAGAAAAATCCGCTCCGTTAGTGCGCACTCCAGCCGGAAGATGGGATTTTTCTTATTCGAGCCCGCACATCTCCCCTTTCCACCTCCCTCCGCCTCTCTCTCTCTCTTTCTCAAAACAACTCGGTCTGTCAGTGTGCACCGAGCGTTAGGAACAAGTCTCACTAGTCGGATTTGCAGCCAGAGAGAGAGACACATCGAGAGAATCCAAGCAGGACAGGCGAGAAATGAACTATCTAATGACTTGCCACATCCGAGCACATTCTCAAATACCCTGCAACCGAGACCCATGAATAAGGATTGCAATATTTTTTCCACCCTGGAAAATCTGGCAATAATTTTGTCAGTCTCGGCACATTTGTAAATTTGTGTCCATTTGAAATGCTTGTTTTTAATTTGCATTAATTAGTTTCGTTTTGCTATTTTCCCCCCCCGTTAATTATCTGGATTGTTTGTTGCCCGTCTCAACATTTCAAGTGCATACGGGATTATTGGCATCTAGGAGTCAAGCAGGAGAATCCAATTGGAGAACTAGAGGGGAGAAAGAGATCTGTCCAGCATCAACATGTTCTTCTGAAGAGGCGAGGAAAAGCTCATTCCAAACCATCATCTACCATCACATTCTCGTCCTAATTCGGCGGAATAGCAGAATGCAGCGGGAGTGAAAAGGGAATGGGAAAGATTGGTCCAGTTTAAACCCCTCGGGAAAAAACAATAAGCATCACGAAATACTGGAAAAGTAAACTCTTGCAGGGAAAATTGCAGAAAAACGGCAGTGGGAGTTTTGTCCAAGAGCTACTTTTCCCTAAAGACGTTTTTTGTGGAATTCTCTCCTTAAATCCACATAGACAGCACATTTGTTTAATCTATCCTCCCGTGTGTGTGTGTGTTTTAGCAGATATCCATGCAGGCTCCCAAAACACGTTGTTCCTGATCACACTGACGGATCCACCTGAAGCACACACGCTTTGTTCGGGTCCAGAGATCTCCAACCTCTGGGAGCGTAGCCTATCCCACACAGCTTTGATGGGAGTAAATAGACGGAATTCGGGATTTCAGATGGCGAGTCGGGGCTGTGAAAATGGATTGGGAATTCTCCTGATATTCTTAGTGGATTTACTCGGGATCACGGCGAGCAACATGGAGCCCATCTACTGGAATTCCTTGAACAAAAGGTAAGAGCCGCAACTAAAGGCATTGGGCACGGCGTTTATTTAAGGAGAGCTTTGCGTTGGAGCTGGTCAAACGCCTCGTGGTTTCGCACAAATCGTTGGAGGACGGCTTTGTAACGTCTCTCGCAGGGGGAAAGAAAACTGTTGAGCGCTATTACGCAGACAAGCCCCTTAGTGGATAATCGCGAGTGTGCAGAAGTTACGAGCATCAATGTCGCCAGCCTAATAAATGGCACATTTCATTGACGGTGTGCGTTGAGGAATTTTACGACAGTAGCCGCCACGGTTATTGACGCTGCACTGTTTCACTGCCTCTCCTTCAGATACGCTCCAGTTAGATTGGCATGACTTTTAGTTGCTCAACACCAAGTATTTTAATGCCATTTAAACAATGTAACCTTTGTAAAACGTTCTTGCTTCAACTTGTGAGAACGTGTAGAAGCCCTCAGAGCTGTTTTAGTCACCAGCTTAACTTCAGTCATGACAGCAGATAAAACAAAAGAGCTTGTTCTGCCAAGGTGTAAACTGTAACATTTACACCGACCATATATATAAAAAAAATGTTTACATGAATTCAAAACCGTTTGCACTTTTATTCATAGGCGACACTCTGTAAAATACAACTCGAACTTTGAAGGAACTGAAATGTAAACTAGAACCGTGAAGGCACAGCACTGTGAGCCCGGCCTCATGAAAATGCATATAAATAGTAGGCCCTTCGCCAAATAAAAACGAAAACTCGTGGTATTGATACGCAAAAAGTGACTTTGGCGTGTATATGCTACGCACGTGTTTGGCGTGCATATGATACGCAGTTTTCGCGTACATATGACACGCATCTACCCCACAACACTAATTCTACCCATCGCGTAGCATATACACGCCATTTTTTATATACAAAGTCCATTTTTGCGTATCAGTACCACGAGTTTTCGTTTTTTTTGGCGTAGTATTTATATGCGCTTTGGTGAGATCGGGTTAGCACTGTGGCCTACTTCTTAGGGATTATTATTAGTTAGCAATTTATCTGCTGTCATCAATTTATAATAGTCGACACTGGAGTTAACGTGGAAACACCTGAAGTGAAAAGTTTTACACGCAAGTGTTAACTTTAGATGGTCAATCAGTCCCATTTCACTCTGCAAAATTTATTACTCCAGTCACGGAGGTGACACGATTTTCTCTGCCGCAGGAAGTAATAGTGGGTAATTTACGGATAGATTTCTCGTAGTATATATGTGTAAATAAGGGGGAGGTTTCTGCAACTCAGCAACTGTGAATTCATTTAGTGGGGAGCCACATAAACGTCGATTTATGGCCGAGCAGACCCCTTTCTTTCGTCCTTCTGTCATTACTGAGCTTGTTTAAATGGACACCCGGCGTCGTGGGAGCTCTTGTGTGCCCGGTCTAAATCGGTATGTGGGTTATGAGGGCCTATTAGTGGTGCCACGAGCTCTTGAAAGACGAATAGGTTTTTAATGTGTCCATGTGGCGCATATACCGGGCTCTGCGCTTCAACAGATGCTGCTGGGAGGGGGTTGGAGGGGCTTTATTCTGTCCCAGTGGCCGCTGGTAGACGCTCTTAATGAGGGTTCTTGTTGGTGTTGCTTGTGTTAATCTAGCAGGGGACCTCATTTGAAACGGGAGCGCGCACGGGTGAGAGGCATGACCTTGACTGCGCGCTCTCTGCTTGACCTTTACCTGGGAGTGAGAGAAGCATTCTTTGCACTTTAAATGATACGAATTCGCTCATTTTCACTGTGGGAAACGCTCACAATTAAGAGGAAACTCGCATTTTGCTGAAACTGTACATTGCAGTCAGTCAGTGTTCATTTTACACATAAACATGTTAAGTACATTCACTTAGTAACACTTCACAGTCGTTTTAAATGGACAGTCAGTTGAATTTGCAAATGAAGCATGGTTAATGGTTCACAATATCAAAGTGGCCAAATAATGGCATTAATTTGCCCTGAAATCTGCCTTACATGCACTATACATTACATATTAAGTAGCTACTGTTTGCTTGTATTAATCACTTATTATTGTGCCACATGGTAGCTTGAACACTGTCATGTAAAGTCTGGTTTCTTTCCTACAACCCACATACACAAACACAGTGTCGCCATATTCATATTTAAATTGAAAATATGTGCAGTGTAAATTTGGCTGCTCACGCAGACACGCACTTAAAGACATCTGCACCCTGTGGTTTTGCTCCAGGCTACAGGAGTCTGCACAGTTCGCTCTAAAAGTAGCTGTACGCAGGTTACATTGTTGGCAGTGCTGTATATTTAATAGGGATCGGTGAACCTCAGTGCTTTGAAGATGAGGTCCTGCATCTGTTGAATGTTTTATTCACCCGTTCAATCCCATCACTCTCTCCGTCACTACTACTGCTCCATCTCACCCTCTCACGATGGCTCTGCCACTCTCCTCCCTGTGCGAAATTAGAAACACGTGTAGCCTTCAGAGGAATGAAGAAGGAGTTGAGAAGTGATGGGAGGAAAGAGGGATCGGGAGACGAGGGAGGAACAGCGGGGCGCATCCTTAAATGTACAGAAATCAATATCTTCTAAGCCATGAATGTCAGTTTGAGTTAGGCTTAAGAAAATGCAAATCCAGCACAAAGATGCCTTGAAATTGTCTGCTTAGGGTAAAAAATCTATAAAGAAAAAATTGTGTTTGTTCATAGACACTGCAGTTTAATGTAATTACGGAATGTATATTTAATTAAGGGGGTGTACATGAAAAATGGTTTCTTGAGACTGAAAAGGCATGAAGCAGGAGGGCTTTTTTTTAGTTAACAGTAATGGTGTTTCTCAGTGAGCCAGCTTGTCTGGGAAGTGTCCTTCACCTTCTGACATTCACACCCCCTGATAAGTTGTATACACACAAGAAAGACAAAGTGTGTTTGTGTGTCCTTGGTACCCGGCTCTTTCTGGATGAGCAAACACATCTCTGACTGATGTTCTGAGGGGTCAGTTAGGCTGTGTAATTCTTACAATTGACTATGTTAAGATGTGAATTGGGTAATTTGATCCCAAACGGTTACTAACAGTTCAGAAGGTTTCCGTGTTCTTCTGTCTAAATCACTGTGCGTTTCGTTAATTGCGTTTCAGAGATTCAGATCCAGCTCAAACCTGTTGGGGGTTTTCCGATAATAAATTCAGACGAGCGAATGTGGGTAACTGTAAGGATTTGTGTGTTATCATAAATGTCACAGGGTCTGTGTGTGTACGCGTGATGGGCTTTTTGTATCAGCGTTCGCTCTCAAAGAAATATGTTAGCCCCACTGGATTTTTAATAATTAATTTATCGCAGGCTAATTGGGCTTGGATAAAAGCGCTAGTTAACTGATCTCAGGCTTAAGATGAGGCAAAGTACAAGGGAAATTTGGGAGGGAGGTCGTTGGGAGAAGGGATTAGAATAGAGACACTCTCAATAGGTCACTGACATACATGGTTGTGTGCAAAAAGTCCTAATTTGTAAGTCGCCTTGCATAAACATCTGCTAAATGAATGTAAATGTAGAAACAAACATAGAAAGTTTTTTTATTTTCTGACACTCTCGCTAATGGATTAGAGGATTGAATTCATGTTAATTTGCTAAACTGAGTAGATCCATTTAAGCTTCCTGACTGGATTCACCTCTTTTGGTCAAGGGAAATTTGGTTTTATTTCCGAGAGTTTAAATGCTGGTGTGCTGCTGAAAGTTAGTGTAGTGTATGAGTATGTGCTTGTGTGGGCTTATGGGTTTACTTATCTATGTTTTGAGGGAGCAATTGTCCCCAGATGTTAAATAAATGTGTATTTATACACACTCACACACAATGTTTTTGAAAGAAGTCACTTGTGCTCAACAAGGCATGCATTTATTTGATCAAAATACAGTAATATTATTAAATATTACTATATATATCAGGATTCTTTGATGATTAGAAAGTAATCATTTTGAGAGTTTTGGGGTTGATTTTTGGTTAGTCATTGTGAAAAAAAAATACAAATATTCGATGTTTTCTCATCTTTTAGATAGCAAAGTAAACAAGTGCGTGCATGTGTATATTAGATAAAGGGTGTATAGCATGAATGTGTGTGAAATAGCATTTTTGAGCTCTTATATAGCGTCTGCTCAGTACCCTGCAGTGAGAAATAGGGAAAATTGTGAGTGTTTGTGTGTGTGGTGCTGGGTCTGCTGGAGGCTTTTCGAGCTCTCAGCAACAGGAGCTGTGAAAATGGCTCTCAGCTGATGTGGCAGAATAACTGCAGCCTGCCTGCAGACCAGACACCCACACACACAAGGCTATATAATGGGGAAACAAAGGCGCCTTCCCTGCGGAGACAGCCAGAAGTGTGTTCAGGGGCTGTGTGATGCAAATATAAGGAACACATGTTCACACAAACACACTTCTGTGTGCCGAAATACATCCAGACATTTGTGGGGTGTTAATTTAAACTATTTAGAAATAATTGAAAGGACGTAGATCGTCACACACACCGTTTCATTGTTGAACTCATGCTGACGGGCGGGGAACAGTGTGTTGCCGAGAGCGGGCCCCCAGGGGACCAGGGCCTCCTAAACCCCTGCAGCATGGTGCGAGTGTGTGTGTGTGTGTGTGTGTGGTCTCACTCTGAACATCTCTCATCACTCTGTGTTTGTTTGAATCTGTGTATTTGTGTGTGCAGGTATGTGATGACAGTTCGCGGAAACTGGGCCTCCTCACTTAAGCCATAATATTCGAACACAGACCGAATATGAAACAGGGAATCAGTTCAGCTCTTTCTCCGCTGTCTTCCTTGTGTTTTTCCTATTATTTATTTATTTATTTTAAGAGTAATAAAGCTGATCAGGGTCTGCACCCACCTGCTGCTACAGATGTTAAGACCTTCACTTCTGTTTTCACTCTCTTTCTTTCTTGGCTAATTCCATTCACAGGTTTAAACGGTCACATGAGTGTTGGGCAGGAGGCTTTCCGTCTGTGTATTTGTGTGTGTGTGTGTGTG